GATGAAGCCTCACACACCCACTGTTAATTATGAAGGTAACTATCATGTGACAGGCCTTTTTTTACTTTAAAAAAGTTGCTGGTCTGACATGATTTAATTCTTTAAAAAGTCTTTCATACACCCTTTAACGAATGGCACGTGTAATCAACCAGCACTTTAAACCAACAACAGAGAAACATCTTCCTTATAGTTTGAAAAATGTAAATTATATTTTCAAATTAGCTTTAAAGTCACGTTTAATACATTGCTAAAAGAAATTACAAGCAGAAAAATACTTCTAAAATCTAAGTATCTCTGTTTAAATATACGCACATTTTCTCTCTGGCTAAAATCTAAAATAAGTCAATTGCCTGAAGGCAGCAATTAAAGGAGGTAATGAAACGGTTTGTAGCTTATAACAAAGCTAAAGTTGTTGTTTTTTTACTCACTTATTGTTTTATGTTATTCAAAATGACCTAACCTGTTGGTCTTTTAATATGCAATATGGTTAGTTTTGAAGACAGAAAGCAGATATGGCCCATCTGAAACCAAAAACACGTCTATCTAGAGAAAAAAACAAAAGAAACAGGTTTCCTCAACATCGCAGTCGTCTCCTGTATCAAGTACATCCTGTGAAAAAACCACAGCGTAATATTTATCAGATGTTTCCGCACGTCTTGTCAGTGCTGCAAAAGGAAACCAGAGGTTTGTTTTACAGATATCTGAGGGGGGGTTGTCGAGTTTGCTCATCTGAAGGCAGATGTTGTGGTGTGTGGGGGCTACTGTTGGGTGGGGGATCTTTATCACTGTTGGAAAGACTGATAAAAACAGCCTCGGATTTGGTGAGCCTGCGTTTACATGAGACCTTCTTGGGTCTGTATTGCGACAGAGGATGTACAGTTATTGCAGTCTTATGGGCTGGTTGTTTTTAATAAGGTGTTCAGTGGAACTCACAAAGTGTGAATCCTGTCATAATACAGCCGTGAGCATGTTTTAACTGTTGGGTAAAGAAAACCCATTTTTTAACAGCAACATTACGGTTTGTGATAAGGTGGAATTCAGCAAGTTCTTCCATTACAGCAACCAGCAAAAATCCTTCATCAGGTGGCGACTGATTTAAAGACAACAAAACGGAAACAGTAGCCCTAAAGCAATCCAACAAGTAGAGCCAGAATACTGCATGTCTGTGTTTATATAGCAAAGACACGTAGTGGTATTTCTCTCTCTGACATTATATCCGGATATACTTTTAAGATGATTTGTTTGCTTAGTACCCAACGAATCTGATTTTTTTTCTAATTTTTTTTATTTATTTCAAATTAGCAGTTCGCATTAGTTTCCTTGCCCTTTGGTAGAACTTAAATGATCATTATTACGCCTTAAAAAAGGCAGATCGCAGATGCATAAAAAACTTTAGAGGACACGACTTTACAGTTTTGCTTAAATTTACTTTACTACAATTTTAGCCACTCTGTACGTTAAAAACCTCACTATTTAATTACATGGGCGCCGATCAATACTTAAATTTATAGTGGAGGATTTTATTTTGTTGGATGGATCATCAAAATAATTGGTCCTCCTAATTGTCAGTCATTCTGGTGATATATTTACGTAAGGCTGTCTTACGTGCTCATCCCATTAGCTATCTTTTTCAGTGCATGAGCACTTTCTGACGTTTATGTGTGGCGATCTATGGTTTTATACGGTTTCATTAAAGCTTTCCTTTCTCACCATGGTTCTTTGAAAATGGGTCGTAAGAGAAAAAGTGTCTACGAAGTGCATGAGAAGAAAAGAAAGGCTTCTGAAGAGAGAAAGAAGATCAGAATGTTTTTGGGAGAGTCTTTCACACTACACTGAAAGCACAGGTTGGGCTTCCCACTGATGCCTCAATTGCGAAGTTTCTACTCCACACGTAAAGTTTGGCATGCTATTTGGAGAAATCCATTTTACATCATCGCTAGTGAAACAAGGAGAAATAGGTTCATACATGCTCTCGCACATGTTTAATAGGGGTTCCCTCATGGGAGCGGGTACAGGGTTGAGCATGTGCATTATGTTTTTAAGTGGAGAGTGCAGGGTCTTTTAAAAAACTCAAGAAAATCCTCCAGTATACCTTTAATCTAAAGCAAAATTGCATCAGCGGTCGCATTATGAACACTGTTGGAATAATGCAGACAGTAAGGAAGTATGTAGGAAAAGGAAACAGGATGTTTTCCATCAACAGCTCGTTAAGCATAGGAACCACCTATTACCTAAACTAATTCCTACATTATGAAGTTTTACAATTTTGACCAAAAACTCTGAGTGACACATGTAGATGTCCTTAATTGCATGTTTTGGTTTTTATAAAAGAGATTGGGCAAGTTTCTTTAAAAAGTAACTAGTTATAGTCACTACTTGGTTCTCCAAAAAAAGTCACTGAGTTAGTAACCCAGTTACTGCTCATTGAATTTACCTAGTTACTCACCAAAGTCACCGTGCAGTTACTTTTTATGTTCCTGGTATTGTAATTTTAAATCCAGCAAGTGGTTCAATTGTGGAATATAGGATTTTTTTTATTTTTATTAATAAATCACACTATTTGAAGTGTGAAGTGTGCATTGAAGTGTGTTGCAATATAATTATGTACATGTGATGATGTTTGCTTATAATAAAACAAAGATAAGATATTTTGGCATTACTTTTTTTCGCACACTGTCAGCCTTGCCTTGGCTACATAATAGGTATGAAGCAGAAAAAAACATGCAATAATGAAATTCAAGTAATTAAACAAAAACAAAATATATTTTGCAATAGATTTAAACAGAGTTTCATTATCCCAGAAAAAAAGTCCTATCAGGACTGTATGATTCCAGTATATTTGATTGGGAAAATTTAAACCTGTTTTAAACTGTTTCAGCCTTGAGAAAGTAAAGAAAGTGTGTTGATTAAAGCTGTCAGTCACTATTAGGATGATGTTAATTCCAGCTTCTAAAAAAAGTTTATAAAGTCTTTGTTGCTGCACATAAAGAGCAAATCACAGAAACACTTGGGCTTCAGCGAGTGCTTTTCCTGTAGGAATGCTGACATTGAATCCGTGTCTCCTCTGTGCTGAAGTTGCGCACCCTTAGGCACGCACGTTGCCAACACGTGCGCCTACACCAGGAAACTATAGTCTTTATTTTTACACAGTATGTAATAAATAATGAATGTTTAAAGCATTCATTAATGAGTAACAGATTGACTTTTACAAACTAATTAGTTACAGTGCCAATTACTGGGATAAACTGTAACACGTTACTTAATAACCTGTTAGTCCAAACACTAACAGAGAGATACATTTGTTAACTACATCACTACAATTTTTTTTGTGTGTTTCTAGAAGGCTGTAATCCCATTTTAACCAGCCTCATTAATGGGTCGGTCACGTTAAGATGTCTGTAAGGCTGAAGGGTGTCCGGATTCATTACAGCAGTCTGGAGTTCCTTTGTTCTTACTGTTGACCACACAAAAGGTGAAGGGTTAGGAGCTATAAACTGATGTATTCAGAATTGTTTTGGTGTTTTTGCTTCATGAGGGACAGATAGATTGCCTTGGTGGGACAGATTCAGTCCACCAACCTTGAATTTAACACGCTTCTTAGATCGTGCACCTGTTTCTTAGCTTAAAGCTCTCTCATGCATCATGATAACCATGTTTTGAATTGGACCATTCCATCCTCACACCTGTTTATTTCCCAGTTAGTATTGATTTTCTAAGGCTTCTCATTTTCCACTCAAGTGTAGCAATGGTTATTATGGATGAATATATTTTTGTATCTCCATGCTGTAAGTCTTAACCCTTTGCTCTATGGTTCAGCGTATCTTGGTCATAACACATTCAGAACCAACCTTCTTCCTGAACATTATAATCACTGGAAGTTTCCATGATGCTTATACTATAGTATTATAGTTTCACAGATGAAAATCATTCCAAAAAAAAGTTTGAGAAGTTTAAAAACAAACCAGTGGAATTTGTTTTCCAAGTTTGAAGACATTCTGCTTCCCATCCAGGAAGCTTTTTCAATTCAAAATGTCTGGAATAGCGTTGATTTCCAAGCTTTATATAGTAGCCCAACTAAGTCTTTTTATGGCTTGGAAAACAGGCAAATTGAATTGAGAGAACAGGTAATATGCTCCCCTTGGTAATGTGTATTTTGACCATAACTCATTCAGAAACAGTCTTCTTCCTGAACTCTATAACCACTGGAAGTTCCCACAATGATTACATTAGAGTATAATAGATGAACATGGCTGCTTCAGGTTTCTAGAATTATCCATAGGATAAAGGAATTTGTGGAGGCCCACAACCGCCTCCCTGGTATCTTAGCTAACTTCTTTTGATTTTTCCCCATGATGTCACACAAGGAAGTATTTCCTTCCCAGGTGCCTCGTCAAAATACACCCACACACACGTCTCCAGTAAACTCAGGTGTTATCAGAAGGTGAAGAATCTGTCCGAAGACATTTTATTTGACATTTTTGTATTTGTAACTGAACTAAAACTGAGAAAGCAGTCAAGAAAAAGGGTGTGTCTTCTACTGTATGTAAATATCTGGTTTTAATTCTTGGTGAAAGCAAACAAACTTGCACACTGACTGTCACGGATGCTAAGACAATCTTTAGAAAGGTGTGGTGAAAAAAGATGACAGCTCTTCTAATCTGATAATAAATAGCCAGAGCTAAACAGGTCGAGTTCCTTTGTCAGCAAGCCACTGGATCTATTCACATACAAGAGTAGTGGGAGTACAGCATTAGCCTACTGCAAGGCATCGAGTTTCATGCTGTTAACAGCAGACAACATTTACAATGCAGTGAAATATTGTGGAAATATTTTTAAAAACCTGATGATGTCGAATGTGACGAGCCATGAGTGGAAACCTGAATAATAATGCACAAAAATATAATTCAAGCTACTGAGAGGATTTTAGTGGTTGAAGTATTTTTCTCCATAACATTTCCAGACACTAGTTTAGCAACAAGAACAACAATTCTAGAGCAAAGTTATTAGAAAAACACTATTCTTTTATTAAACATGTATTTTTTATGTATTCTGTGTTATAAAAAAGATCTACAGCCATCAGCCTCGACTAAGACAGACAGGGAGGCGATTGTGTTTCAGTTTAGTCCTCATTACTGACTGACTCTACAGGTCAAAGTGACAGGAACACTTGTTTACAAAACGTTTAAAAAAAAGACAAGAAGAAACATCAGTGTGTTGTGCAGCTGGAGTGACTCAAAGTAGTCCATGATGAAAAACACTTAAAGAAAAGTCCACAGAATAAATTACAGTAGGATAGATCTGGCTCTGATCAGGCTGAGACAGTCCCTCCGTCTGCTCCTCAGGGTATTCATACACAGGAAGTATTTTTGTTTCTTTAAAAGGTGGAGGTGTGTGCATTGAATCTGCACAGAAAACATGCATTTACCTGTTTGAGTGTCTGATAGCTGTGTGACTGTAGGTGAAGAGAAGACAGAAGGAGGCAGACATATGATTACTTTTTAAGTTTGCAAACTATTTTCTTTGCTTTAAACATGGTTTTAAACTTTTTTAACCATCATTATCAGCAATATCCTTATTTTCAATCTTAAATACAACATTTTTACAAGTCTGATTAAATATGGCTTAATGTGAGTGACTGTAAATTTTGGGGGAAATGTTTTCTCCTCCCTATTAATTTTCCTGCTTGCTTTATTTCTTGTCATCTTTGAAATAGGGCTGTGCTTCCCCTGATCGAAGCGTGAAATACACAACTTTTGCAGAACAATGCTGCATGTGGGTTAGCATTCAGTCACTGTCACTGGTCTCGCTGCTGGGGTCCCCCTGGACTTTGCTGCGGTGTTGCATGGCGCGGCTGTAGGCCACCGACACAGATTTACGAATGTTGGATTTCCTGCCCTCCAGCATCTTCTCCTTGTCTAGCTCTTGGTCCACGCCGAGCGGCACCAGCTTGGAGCGCGGCAGCCACTGCCTGCACGCACAAACACGCAGACACAGACATGTTGAAATCCAATAAAATTAAGCAATCTATTTCTTTTTTCCTATTAAACTCATTTATCAAAAAACAGTATGAAACAATCCAAGCACTTAGTTTTGATAACTATTTTTATATGTCTGATGCCTAATGAAAACAAAAATCTGCTTTAAATAATGAAAATAAAAATCAGAATTACATGTCACAAATTAACAAAAAAAGATTTTGAATACATCACTGGGAAAACTAACTCATTTTACTTGGTGTGCAAAAGTAAGGCAAGTCAAAAAGGTCATTTCTAAAGAAGCTGCTTTTGTTTTGTTTTTTTACTGTTTTACATGGCTTCCTTTGCTGACAAGCTAACGATGATACCAAGTTTATATCTAGCAGGATTTAACTGTCTAGGCTGCCAAAAACTTTAACCATAGTATCAGTTCACTGACTGCTAGTGGACTTTGAGTTTAAAATTTGAGACATTATTGATTCCATTGCTCGAGTTAAGATTAAATGTTTTTTTCTGGGTAGAAAAAATCTCAGTCAGAAATGAAAACATAATGGATTATATGTACGGAAGAGGATTAGGGCCACAAAAAACAAACAAAAGAAATTTTTAAATTTTATTTCAGTTTAACATAGAAAAAAAGTCAGAATTTTGACTTTTTTCTCAGAATTCTGAGAATAAAGTCAGAATTCTGAGATTAATCTCAAAATTCTGACTTTTTTCCCATACTAAACTGAAATAAAATTTAAAAATCAGTTAACTTTTTTTTTTTTTAGTGGCCCTAATCCTCTTCTGTAAATATAACAGCTGAAAGATTGGATGGCAGGTTCACTAGAACATCTATAAAGAGACTCTACAGAACTGAAAAATGTGACATAATCTTTCTTCACGGAGATCCTCTCCATAAATATTATCAATGCTTGTACCTTATCTTCCACAGTCGACAGGTTAACTAACCCTCCTGTGAAGTTAGTGTTTGGACTCCACTCTACAAAGTCCTTCTTCACTTTCTCAGAGAACAAACTTTCAAAAACTTCTGTTAGTCTATAAATCCTCTGAATGGCTCAGCACCAAAACACATTATAGACTTGTCAGTGGATAAACTGTCCAGACTTCTGCATTCTAATAACCAGAACCAAACCCGAAGGAGCAGCTTTTTGCTCTTACGTTCCATTAATCTTAAACAAACTGCCAGAGAACTGTAGAAATGCTAAAATCCCAAATCTGTTGATGTTAAGTGATTTAAATAGTCTCCTTAATAAAAATATGCAAACCAAAAATACTTGCATTGCCGCAGAGATTCAAGCAAAATAAGCCCTGACTAGGTTTTCCTATAAAGTGCAAAGACATACTATGACAGTCCTAATGAGCATTTAATTCACTCTAAGCCATAAAGATACAAAAGGAAAAAAAAAAAAACCCACATTGAAGGCATTGAATAGAAAAGGTAAAATTCATAGTATTTTATTACTCAGATATACATTTAAATAATATAATACATCATTAATATGCAGATATATATATATATATATATATATATATATATATATATATAAATAAGTCAGTGTTTTCTGCCAGAATCAATATTAGTCGTCTGCAAACAAAAGAGCCTCTGTCTGCTTTAGGGGGCGGGCTTTCAGAAGGTTCACAGGGCGTTACCTGAAAGCAGGCAAACTTCAGCTAACCCTGAGAACAAGGAAGGACTTCAGCACATGCAGATCACTTGTTTCTCACCAATTCTTTCCTTTCCAAGCTTAAAGCAATGCACATGATGACCTAAAAATCTATGCATCCTTTCCCCCCTCTGCTGTTCTCATAAACCAGGCTTGGCCCATTTCTGCTGAGCGCTCTGTCGCCTTGTGCTTCTCGGCTCAAGCAGCCCTGCTTTGAAGTTTTTGCAGCTTAGTTAGGCACGAGTCTACACCCAGGCACATCAAAGACGTCGTTTTTGCTTGCAAAACAAATTTGGATCATAATAGAAGAAACGTGATAAATGTCAGCAAATATTAGAACCTCTAACATTTAAAACTGTTGGGACCCAATGTGGTGCACAAGGTTTCGATGAGCTGAGAAACATTACTCTGCATAAAGTTCAGTAAAATAAAAAAAAAGACCTAGTGTACTTACCAAGTTCTTTTGTTGTCGAAGAAGAGGACGAGGAACAGGTGCTCCCTGGCTTCTTGGGTCATTTGCTCTCCAAGTTTCAGCACGTCTAAAGGAGGAACGGGGATGGGGACTCCCCGGTGGAACACCCCCTCCCTGGGCATCTTTGGGTCAATGATCTGCAGGCAAACAGTGGTGTGAGCACCGATTCGACACACATTTAGTACATCATGTTGTTTTAAAGCAGTTGAAGAAATGCTTCTATCTCACCAGCGCAGGATAGGAAGGATAACCTCTGCACTTGGCCCAGACCAGATCCAGAGCTTCCAGAGAGGAGTAGTCATCAGACGTCATCCAGCATCCTGACCGGTCTCGGCCACGCACCACTAACAGCAGCAGAAAAGCCAGCATTATGCATCTTTCTTTCCGTCTATACAATCAGCACGCCATGTCACATTGTCTTTAACATTTATTACAACACAGCATTCTGACATTTTAGCAGGGTGAGTCATCTTCTGGCCAAATCAGTGCAGCAGCTATGAGGATTAATAATGAAACAAAGACATTTGTTTTATTGTAGCAACTCTTTGAGTGAAAACTGATCTCCTTTTTTTCTCTTTATGAGAATACTACATTCCACATTCATCCAGGAGGCAGCTGCAGCAGCTCCATGCCTCCACACAGCAAACAACAATAAAAACTGTTAGGTCTGCTCTCTGTACACCTACACATTTTCAGCCCAGGGAAACTAAACAAGAAGCTGTGGTTCTTGTCATTGAATCACTTCTTGCTTTTATGTATGTTTTTTCATCCTCTGCAGAAATCCCCATGTTTAGTTATGAACCTGTTCTCATTGATATTGGATCCAAAAGTGAGAAAGAAATTGCTTCTCTGACAGGTTGGAAAGAAAAGCAATAATATTGATGTGATATCTTCCCTTTTACTGAGCTACATTTAGATGTCTTTTAAGGCTCATTTCTCACCATTCCTCTTTACAAAATAGTTTAAGCTTAGTCACACTGAACCAAGATCATTCTTATCCACATATCCACAACTGGATTCAGATTTGGACTTTGACTAGACCAATAATCTAGCTTTAATCTAAAACATTCCACTGTAGGCTGTATGATTAGGATCCCTGTCCTGCCGGAAGGAGAACTGTCTTGAACATTTGCAACTTCTAAAACAGGCATGCCCAAAGTCGGTCCTTGAGGGCCGCTGTCCCACAGCTTCTAGAGGTTTTCCTGCTCCAGCACAGCTGATTTACATTTATAGCTGTTTAAAAGGCTTTTGCTGAACTGCAATCATCAGAATCAGGTGTGTTAATGCAGGGAAACCTCAAAAACCTGCAGGACAGACTTTGGCCTTGCCTGTTGTAAAGGGTTTTCTTCCAGTACTGTCTATCGTTCAGCTTAACGCTGAGCATCCTCTAACAGCAGCCCCACACCATGATGCCAACATCAGTATATTCCCCATTGTTTCTTCTGTAAACTTAAATCGTCTGGAAGTCTTTGGCTGTGTCTTTTTCTAGCCAATCTACCATAAAGAGCAGATTTACGAATGCTCCACCAAAGTCACAGCCGAATTTTTTCCCCTTTATCTTAAAGGGAAACGCTGTTTTATTTATTTTTTTTTTTTTTACATTGAGCCCTTGATTTACCGTTGTTACATCATGTTCTACTCACCCATATGAGTTTTGTGTCATTTAGAGCTGTTCTGGAGATATTAGGTTTTGTTATATCCAAGTAACTTCTTCCTATGGGCAATGAGTTGAAGGCACAAACTAAACTGTTCATAATTTATTCTTTATGGTATGCCAGCATTCATAACATGTAGGCGAATCACTGTCCCCCAGACATCTGCGGTTATATTTTTTATATTTATTAAAAACAAAGCAAATAACCATATACGGGGTAACAAAGGGGCCAATGTAAAAAAAAAAAAAAAAAAGCGTTTCCCTTTAATGATTCTCTTTGTTCTCCAACAACCATGTATCCCTCTCTGAAATCCTTTAGCTCCAGTTTAGCAGAAAATAACCATATATGGGGTAACAATTCCTCAGAAGGATTTTATTTAGGGGCAGCATTGAGGGGCCACTGGAGGACAGGCCCTGTTATGCAGGGTTTTGGTGTGGGACAATGTGCTTACGGTGAGAAACGCCCCGCGATCCTCCAACTGAGTAGGAATCATTTTCTGTGCCCGATGTTTCCTCACTGCTGTCTTCATGGAAGGTGGAACGAGAGAATGACGCCTTCACTCTGCCCTGTTTGGAGGGTGTTGTGCTGGTGGGAGGAAAACAAAAACAAAAGCATGATCATCACAGCTTTAAGCTGAACCTAGCAGAGACTTTCTTCCTCGAAACTAAAACCGAGGCAAAGACCTCAGCGGAGAAAGCTGTAGATTCTGTGGTTTTGCTTTGGTAGATAAGAAATGTGACTCTTCAGGTTGATTTTGAAATGAACGATTGAATTGGTTCAGTAGATCAGAGGCACGCATGCAGCAATCACCTGGTCCTGTCAGAGGCCGCGCTACTGCTGCTGCTGGTCGTGGACTCAGAATCTGAGCTGGAACGAGGCAAGCGAGGCTCATTTCTGTACACACGGAAGCTTTCGGTTACGGGCTGGTTTCCTGTATCGAAGCCATTGCTTGGTAAACCTGAAGGTAACAGACGGAAGGGTTGAGTCACTGTGTGATCCGGGAAATCTCCTCCCTTTAAAGGTGCATTAATGACTACTGCGTGCAGCACCTGGCAGGAGGTCGTCGTCACTGTCACTGTCAGAGGTGGAGGTGCTGTGGGGGCTGCGGGGCCTCTTCCTCTGCCTGCTAGACGACAGCAGGGGAAGCTGCGGGGGGCCGATGGGGCTCTGGCTCACCCCTGCCCCAGCATAGCCCGCGTCTCGGTTCTTCGGCGGGCGTCCTGGCCTTTTTGGAGGTCCAGTCATTTTCGAGGGCTTGTTGAAAAGGATAGTAGTCCTTCGGCCAACCTCAGGAGCTGCAAAGGATCAGAACAAAGTTAAATATTAGCCAGATTCAAACAGAAATCTCCTTAACTTTATTCTAACATTCCTAGATTCATCTAGACACACCCTTTCCTCCAATCTCCTGGCTGCTGCTCTCTCCCCCCTCATCATGGTGTCCCGTAGAAGAGTGATGCGGGAGAGAAGAACTACGATCCCCCGCTGACTCACGGCCCCCCATGATGGACCCTCCATCCCGCTGGTGAGCCAACTTCCTCCTGATCACGCTGATCTCCTTTTTCAGGGCTTTGGCTCTGCGAGACTGGCCAATGCTGTGCTTCCCTGAGCTGACCTCATCAAGGCGCGCCTGCAGGTAATGCAGCTGCTCGTCCAGAGGCAGCCGTCGCCTGTTCTCTGGGAGGAGAAGGTCTGTGGCAGCAAAACTTCTAGTTTATTCATCCCATTAATAAGAACAGGAAGGATGCAGTAAAGTGAAAACACAAACAATTGTGTTTTTAGAAAGAAGCCCTTATAAAACGGCCGCCATACTTTTTAACACTAAAAACTTATGAGGATTTTATATGACACACAAAAAGTTGTGCATAATTGTGAAGTAGAAGGATTTTTTTTTTTTATTCACAATAAAAAAAGTCAGAGTACTGTCTGCTTATTTCTATCCAATCCCCTTTTCTCTGACATCTCTAAATAAAATCAAGGGCAACCAAATCGTTATATTAAGGGCTGTTCAATCAATGACAGGAAAATCACAAGACTATGAAGCAAGTTCCAACCTACCAAGACATGGCCGTCTACACAAACAAACAAACCACACAGGAGTTTATTTATTAGAGAAACAGCCAAGAGAACATGCTAACCCTGCAGGAGCTGCAGAGAACCACACATTAGGTCTGAGAATTTAGACGTTCCCCATCTGAATGCAGCCTTCATGGAAAAACATCGAGCAGAAAGCTCAATGAAGCCATGAAAAGGCAAGACTAGACTTCTGAAAGAAGCAGCTCTTTTGAAACACACCTAAACACACAGAGTGAAATATGGTGGTAAGAGCAGCAGGCTAAAAGGATGGCCTTAAGATTTATTTCAGCGAGAGGATGACCCAGAGATACTCGGAAGAAAATGGTTTGGATAAGAGTTTGCAGTCTAATACGTTTACTATTATGTGATGGCAGTTGAGGTTGTTGCTTTGATTTCGTTATAATGTTGTACAATGATAATAACTAAATTCCTTCCACTTCACAAACATGTTCCACTTTGTCTTATTTCTGTCACATATTATCCTCCAAATAAACCTAATTTATTTTCATTTGTAGTCTGACAAACCATCATATTTATCTATCATTATTAATAATCTTGTTAAAACAGATATAAACAGTGAACAGTTGCTGAAGATGTTTATTTTGGGCAACCAAAGTCAATGTTTGCAAACTTTTCAGTTGTGAAAATCTGTATGAAAGACTATATGGATGTTAATTTGTGAGTTAGAGTTTAATAGTGTTGAACTAGAAAGAGCAAGGACACAGACGCCACCTGCTGGTCAATTTTCCATCCTAAGAGAACAAAACTTTTGCACAAATAGTGACTCTTAAGCCTTGATATCTGCATTTGCTGTTATCTAAATACAAATTGCATCAGTATGTAAACACAATTAAAAGACTACTTTGGTATATTTCCACCAGGGGGTGAAGGGGGTTAAAATATGATTTAGAGGCAATACAATATCTATAAGAATGCACACATTTTTAAAATCTATTGCTCTGCTTCTTCTTTAAAATGATGCTGGCCACATTAGGTCAACCAATCGTCGATAAAGAGGAGCACTCACCGTCTTCGTTAGAGGACAATGGCCTCTCTCTGTCCCTGTCCTGGTCCCTCTCCCGCTCTCTCTCAGGCTCACGGTGGCTCTCCGGGCTCGAGTCACGGTGAAGATGCATGCCCGTCTCATAATCGAAGCCGATGCGTTCGGCCTGGCGCCTGGCCGCTCTCAGAACCACGGCGCCCATCTCCCTGAGCCGCAGGGCAGCACGGTAAAACACGGTGTCCTTGGCGTTGTACTTGAGGCAGTTGTTGACGATGAGACCGAAGTCGGCCTCGAAGGCCTCGAAAGTGAGGTAGCGATGGGACTCCAGCAGGTTCCACATAGTCTGGAAGTCCATAGGAGTGTCAATGTGCTCCAGGTAATCTGGCACCTGTTGGACGGAAGGACGTGAAAAATCGCCAACATTTTTTAAAAACTCTCCACCAGCATCAATTAGGTACACTATTATAATTCCTGAGCATGAAACGTGAATCCAGCAATAATCAAGCAGCCTCTAATTGCACAGGTGCAGTCCTGTTTCTCTGAAAATGAAGAGGGGACATCTAATGTGATTTTTTTATGCAAGTGTTTTTACCTCTTCCAGAGGAACAGGCTCAGTGAAGAAGTTGTTTGTGTCTCTTTCCTGTAACTGCTCCAACGTACTCCTGAGAAGAACCAGGAAGGGGGTCAGCTGCATCTCCAGCGCCATCTGCTGCACCTTAATCTAAACAGACACATTTGGACAGCTGTCAGCTGCACAAAGAAACCGACATCTGTATGTACGCCGTTTTATGATCACAACAGTGTCAAAATATCCGTTATGGCTCTCACAGTCTCCCTTTTGAGTTTCTCCCTCTTGCGGATGAGCTCCACCAGCAGCCTGGCCCTCTCCAGGTCATGCCGTAGCCTCTGCCATGCCTTTAGCTGCTCCTTTAAGGCACACTGCTTCTCCTCGTTGTCCCTCTGAAACACAAAAATGAAAGATGTTAAATGCAGGTAAGAAAATGGGACAAATATCAGAGGGCAGCGGTTCTTTGGTTTACAGGAGGAAGCTGGGCGGCGGGCTGAGGAGGATGCGGATCAACATGGCGCTGAGAAGGCAGGTGGGTCTGAAGCCGGCGCAGAAGAGGAACGCCATTGCGACTCTGTCTCTTCAGCGTCCAGTAGCTGTGGAGCCGTTGCATGAACTGGCTCTTTCTGGGTACCGTCAGGTTACTGGTGATTTTGCTGAGCCTAGAGAAGAAAACCAGAATATAAAGTTTTGGAATCCCTGGTGACAGGTTCACACAGAAATATTGATTTTCACTATCGGTTATTTTACCCCCATAAAAATGAATCCTCTTTTGTTGAGATTTGATGAGAGATTTATGAACCAACATCAGGCAGCGTTTGATTTTCAAATAAAAGAAACATGATAGATGATTTTTATAAAACTAAGAAATATTTGGCTTTTAAATGTAGCAGCTCTGGCTTACTGCTTTGTAGAAGCAAATTGTTCTGCAGTTTCTGAATTTTTGGGAGTGAGCTTCTCCCAACTGAGTAAATCTAGAGGTTGATTTTTAAAGCATTCTTCTATGAAACAGAAACTCAGTCAGAGCTGCAGCAAATCTTCAAGTCTTAACAAAAATCCTCAACTGTACATCTGTTGGTACTAAGGTATAATTATGTTTTGATCTAAACCATTCCGCTGTAGCTCCAGCTGAACTTCTGCTAAAATCTTTTGCAGCCTCCAACAGGTTTTCCTCTAGTAATGCCCTGTTTTTAGTTTAATCCAAATCTCATCAACCCTGGTAGTCTACTCCCTCCCTTTAAAAAAAAAGCATCGCCACAGCACGATGACTCCACCACAGACTTCCACTGTGGGGTAAAGGTGTGCAGCATGGCGAACACAGCTAATTTCCTCTACAAAATGTTTTGCATCTGGGGAAAAGAATTTGGAAAGAAAAAAAAGTTCTGGATATAATTTATAACTTGTGCCTCATCTAAGCTACTTTAATATATTCCCGAACCTTCCCTCTTAATAATGCCATTTGTCCCATATATGTTCTGCAATAAACACCTAAGGCCTTCATACAGAAGATGATCGTATATTGGAAATAAATCACATACAGGTTGATTCTAGAGTCTCAATGCTTTGGAAAGCAGCTAGTTGAACTGTGTTTTTTAGGGGCATCAGAGTAAAGGGGCTTAATACAAACGCATGCTGCACTTTAAAACTTTGTGTTGGTCTATTCCATAGAATGCTAGGTTTAAATAAGTGGTTTGGGTGTAGAAAAATGTAGTAGAAGTTATTTCTGATGACGATATGCAGCGACAGACATTTGGTCATGTAATCATTCAGTTTAAATATGCCTGCCTACCTGTGGGGAGGTATGCATGGCACAGACACCACTGGTGCAGCAGCTCGTCTCTCTGCCAAGATCTTCCTGGCCCTTTTCATCTTCAGCCTGGATTTGGCCTTCGCCCTCTTGGCGCGCTCTGAGCTCCAGCCCTTGGAGTCCTCATCTTGGCAGAGACTGGGCTCGTCGTCGTCCTCCAGCTCCCCTTCGCTGTTAGACGAGCCCATGCTGGCCCCTCCCACCCCGGCCAGAGGCCTGGCGGAGCCCGGCGGCGTGTGGATGTCGCAGTACGCAGTCTTGCGGACGCTGAACGAGGTGCCGTTCGCCCCCGTTTCTCTGACGGGCTCCATCTTCATGTACAGGCCTGCCTGCTGGGCGCAAGTGACGTGGAAGGCCGTGTAACAGTTGGCTTTGTGACACTGAATGCAGGCGCCTGAGCCGCGCTGCTTGCAGATGTAGCAGGTGAGCTTCCAGCGTGCAGGAGGGATGTGCTCAATGCTATCAATCGGCTCTAGGAAGACTGTGTTTGCAAAGCAGACCTGGGAAATTGGACAAAACGAGTTATTAGGAAAACACAATAAAAGGGTCAATTTAAAGATTTGAACTTGTAAAAAAAATAATCGCTTTACCTCTGGGATCCAAAGGGCACAGACCACATGAGCCCAGCGCCCATCATCCGTCTGCTTGAAAGCGCCTCCCTTGTTAGGACACAGGGCACAGTCCACAGCTCTGCTTGGCGACTGCAGGCAGCGCCGACACAACCACTGACCCTCCGGGATGTAAGGAACGCCGTAGCACTCTTGGTGGACAGCCAGGTTGCACATATCACAAAACAGGATGACATTGCTGTTTTGACACTCGCCGTCGTTACAGATGCAGCAGACAGCGTCCTCGTCAATCAGCGTACTGGGGTCTGCCTGAAGGGACGATTCAACAAAAAGGGTGAAGAGTTCAAATCTGCATGTCAACGTTTGTGGTATCATCAGGATAACAAGCTGAGGTACCTTGTTGTGGCTTTCAAAGTAGGATTCCTTTTCTAAGCGGTCCATGAGGTACTCGAAGACCTCCTGAGGGATTGGTGTCACGCCGTCACGCCGCCGCTTATCGTTCATGATGCCAAGCCAGATGCAGTCCTCCTCATCTATGTCATACTCCACCTCTTCATCCAGCTCTTCCACAGACTTCTCAATGTACCTGAAGCCCAGAGTCGGACAGAGGAGGAGATCAACGCAAAAAAAGAAGATTATTAAATCAAATATTTGTGCATTCCCCAGATTTATGAAGCTACCTTAATATTAAAGAATGTAGTTCTTATCCTAGTAGCACACCTATAGTAGGATAAAGTCCGAGGAGGGGCATCAGGTCTCTCTTGGTCCAGTTCTCTAAAAACTGCTTCTGGAAGCTTGACAGCCAGACCGGACTGCGGGTTGTGATGATGAGACGTACCATCTTTCTTTTTGTCTTTACTTTTGTGCTTCCCAGTCTTTGGCGTGGCTTTACTACCGTTAGAGGACTGGATATCGGAGCGATCCTTACCGCTTCCTCCAACTTCGCTGCATGCAGCTCCACTGTCGCTTCCGTTACAAACCCCTCCTCCAAAACTGCCAGTTCCAGATGGCAACGTATCCTCTGCATCGCTGTTTTCTTCTGACACCACATCAATGTTCTCAAAGATACTGATGCGGTGAACGCGTCCCTGAATCTCTAGTTCCACCATACGCTGTGCCTGGGCATAAGTCATGGTCTCCCTCCCAGGAGAGTGGGAGCGATCCGACCGGCTGGGGCTCCCAGGTGCATTTACCTCAGGGCCTGGTCCATCACCTCCGTTACCCCCATCGTCTGTGTCTCCCGAGCCAGTCAGCGAGACACGAGGAGGCCGTCCCTTTCTCTTTTTCTGGGGCACGGTTGGAGCAGGAGTTGGGTTGTCATGGTCATAGTGGTAGAGGTGATACTCTATGCCACTGTAACTCTTGTAGACCTTACGACAAGTCTCCACAGGACACTCATACGGCGGCTTTGTGGCCCGCAGATTATGACAGAATGTCTTTACATCAAAATCTAGCCCCATGGCGCCAACAACCACTTGAGAGACAGCTTGAGTTCTGCTTTACATCTGGAAAAAAAAAAAAAAAAAACACAAATGGAAACGATGACTTAATAATAACTAAAAATGTAGGACTGCATAACATAAGGAAGATGTACTATTAAGATACATCAAATATTGTCATGGATTGTTCCGATTGACCAGTGCCATTTTTTCCACACTCAGCTCGTCTTCTGAATCTTCTTAATTTGTATCAACGGTTTACCAAGTTTGGTGAAAAGAAGACATTAAAATCAGCTATTTGTGTGTGAATCACTGCATGTATTATGTAATTACAGTGAACAATTATATTGCAGTTTTGGCTAACACTACAAAAACATGTTAGAGCTTATCAATAAGAACAGACATTGTAAAAAAAACAAAAAAACAATGAAAATATAGCAGGTAAATACCACTCCAAATAAATCTAATTTTCCTCACGTAAACAGGTTGGAAGCGGTAGAGAAGTACACTTAAATATTTCAGATTTCCATATTTTTGTTTGTGCATTTAAAAAAAGTACACATTATTCAGCGGTATTAAGATGATATGGTGAAACTTTGTTATTTAAGTTATCTAAAGATTAAAGAGGGGGTGAAAAGTCCTCCCTATATGACTACATTTCTGTTAGTCACGGTTAGCTGACTAAAACTGAAATTGCCCTAAATGACGCACTGTAACTAAAACCCAAAATCCCATTTAAGTTAAATGACTTATAAAAAAGCCACTAAATTAAAATGGTTTGTCAGAATAAAAGCTGTTGTACATCTGATGCAGGGATGAGCAACTGACAGCTGAAACAGGCTCCAGTTACCATGGAAACATACAGGTTTATAGATGCAGGAAACTCTAGCTTCCTTATTTTGCTATTGTTTATACTTTAAGGAAATAAAGTAGCACATTCAGAGTCTAGATCATGTGAAATCAACTACTGAAAAAAAAAAAAAACATACAAAAGTCCCGTTTATTTTCGGTTACTCAGTGACAGGTGCCTTTCAGGTCAACAAAACGTTCAAACGACAAAAGCAAACAGAAACACATCCGATTCCAGAAATATTACACAGAAATCAACTTAATAAAACGGTGAACAGGGGGAAAAAAACCCTGCAACCACCTTGATGCTTACTAACCCAGCTAACATTAGCATTCTGCTGTTACTCCTCCAACAATGAACTACTGTAGCAGAGCCGCTTTAGCCGAGCTTCTAACAACAGTTAGCAAACAACATTGACCAAACTCTCCAATAAACCGAGCCGCATTCAATGTACAGCCTCAGCAAACAAATGAACCAAACTTCAAAAAATAAGTCTGAACTGTCGCTTGGTGACTTCTTTCCATTTTTAACACTCATGTACAAATGCGGAATAAACGTTAGCTTAGCAAGGCTAGCTGTGTTACAGAGCCAGTCTCACTGTATTTCGGTAAGAAATATAAAGTATTAAAGCCCAGAGCAGCGTGTAAACATTCGGACCGAGCGTTTCCCTCCATAATGACCCCAAACAATTATTCATTTTATTTAATAACACAGCAGCAAAACGTCCGTTATTAAGTTAGCATACTGCAACAGTAAGTGTGGTTAGCTCCAATAGTGAAGCCAATTCTAATCGAGAATCTTAATCTATGAGTTTTCTGTCTACATCAGTATGCTTTGGCAGTATGGTGTGGGAAAAGGCTGGCGTGCTTATTTTGCATAATACGGGAACTACCCGCGTCCCAGTGTTTTCAGGGCGCAGTGGGTTTGTTGAATTGTAATAATTGCCACCTGATCCCATATTCGACCAGTTCCTGATCATGAAAATATGCCCAAAAGAAAAATAACGGCGAAAAAATACACCTTAACAGATTCTTCATCTTAAACACTTACTATTCCACGTTTTCCAGGAAATCTGCTGCGCGCTTCGGAAACCTCGCAGCAGCTCAGGAGGGTTGCAGGTCGGTTTTAATTCATTAGATAATCCAAGAGGAGATTGGAGAAAGGCGTAGATGCATTGGAACGTTTTATGAGACTGTATAACATCCATTTAGTTTCATTGTTTGTGCAATAATGGAGGAATTCTGGCGAACAAAAGGTGGGGACAACCATAGCTGAAACGCTGCTTGGCCGTAGACTCAGCTTGGCACATTCTCTACGCAAACCAAAACGGATTTCGATTGGACGGGAGAAAGGGACGCATGGGCGGGGCTTCCTTCTCTGATTGGTCGAACGAGTCGGAATGTGTTTGCTGATTGGTTGAGATAATTAAAAAAAAGTTCAGACGATTCAGTAAGAAATACTTTTACTGCTATTTTGACGCTAAAATGCTCTATGTATGAAACCAGTTATTAACACAGGAAAGGCAGAGGATCTTTTTCTCATTTTATATTATGTAGGACTAAAAATAATATATATATTCCATCAAATTGTTTAAATTCTCATAGCAAATATTTGCTTCATACAAAAACCTTTCTTTCAAACATGCTTTTTTAAAGCTACAGTGTGTAATAATTACAGGGATATACAGTCAGAAATGTAATATATTATACATAACTATGTTATTTATTATCATCTACGAGCTCAGCCTCTTAACCTTAATATTTGCGTTGCTTAGATTTCGTTTTTTATAATTACATAGGAGCGGGTCTCGCAGCCATGGAGGCAGACATCTTTGCGCTACGGCAGCGCAGAGCCAACAAACTAGCGATTGCGAGATTACGCTCGAAAGTAACTACGGCAAGTTGAGAGAGATGAACTGAGACGGTACTGAATACACAGACTAATGAAATACTATCTGTAAAATCATCTATGTAAACAAACCTCATCACTTGAGAAGGTAGGTGATGCGGACATCGTGGAAGACATTTTGTCCCGTAACGCTCGCCGTACTGTTGGGGGGGAGAAGCGGTGGGGGGGATGTTCATACGATTGGGCCAATAATCGTCCGTACAATAACGCGCAGTTCCATATTGCAAGCCGATTGGGCCAATAATCGTCCGTACAATAACGTGCAGTTCCAACCCGTATTTTACGCGAGCGCGCGTAAAATACGTGGCGTTAATAATGTTTGGTGGTGTTTTTTGCATATTATATCATCAGGAGGTTGTCTTTTAGGTGCTCAGCCACTAGATTTAAAGGTGTTTTACCCAATAAGAACACTGCAGCACCAGACACAACCAGGAGATCCCTGATTGTTGGGGAAAGGCAGAAAGAAGATGCACCTTCCTTTCTGATCCTGTCTAAATCCTGTTTAGTTCAATAATAAAGTCTGATATTACACAAAACTCACTCTGCTTGTTCTCCCTACTTATGCCCTTGGTGCAGAAGATAAATTATATCTTTAACAGAAATGTTATTATTAATTCTGAAAATATTATCATGTGAATATAAATACAAAGCATACAAAAAATGCAGCTTTATTAAGTGACCTGGTTTATTTTATTTAGCTTTTAATTTCTTTTCAACATTTAGTTCAACATTTAGTCATACCTTTTATCTGTATGTCTCCAATATCTGAACGTTCATACAGGTCAACGCTGTGGTCATTTTCTGTAGTTGTGCCAGGTCCACTGAAGAATAGAAAACAAGATATAAACATTTCAATCTGTGTTATATAGATTATAGACATAAGCCTATAGAAAATAAAGTGATAAAGTTGGTTTCTACTTACCCTTCTCAGGCGCGGATTCAGGCGGGGGCGCGCAGTGACGTAAAAAACGAGCGCTTGCGTAAAATACGGGTTGGAACTGTGTGTTATTGTACGGACGATTATTGGCCCAATCGGCTTGCCATAGGTTAACTTCAATCTTAACGCGACAATTCAATGCGAAATGTGACGCGACAATTCAATGCGAAATGTGACCTTCTTGGCTTGCCATAGTTTTGCTGCTGGACTCGCCGCATCAACCAATCAGAGAAGCTGATCTGGGAGCTGACAGCGAGACAGACACAGCGCTCTGATGACATATGATATTAACACAAATGGAAAAGGCTGGATGGATGAGGAGATGATGAAAGCGTAGCTGAGGGAGGTGTAGCCTATGTGAGGAGACCAGGTGGTTTTTTCCACGCATCACCATCGCTGCGTGCCCATCTCACAGCCGATGTGAAAAAAAAGGTGAATCAAATGGATACTGTGCTCGCCGTTATCCCGGGGGGTCTGACAAAGGAGCTTCAACCGCTCGACATCAGTGTGAAGCGGCCGTTCAAAGTAAGGCTGCGAGCGGCGTGGGAGCGATGGATGGCCGACAGAGACCACAGTTTCAGGATAAGTGGAAGGCAGCGCCGGGCAAGTTACGCCACAGTTTGCGGATGGATTGTAGATGGACTAACGTGTCTGCTGGCTCTGTTGTACAAGCTTTTGCAAAAGCCGGCATTATTTCTGAGGAGCTGCGCTGCACGGAAAGTGACTCTGACAGCGAAGAAGGGGAAACTGGCATGTCTGATTTAGCGCAGCTGTTTTATTCAGAAACAGAGGATGATGACTTTGATGGGTTTGATTAATACTTTGTAATAAATACATGAATAAAGCACAATCATACTCAGTTTTGCTCCCGCTCTATTTTTCTACCTGAAAACTTAATTCAACAGCAGCATCTGGGCCGGGTCTCCTCCTCTTCACCGCGGTGGCTGGCAGGTGTTTTTTCATCTAAATAATCTAAATCTTGCAGCTATATTTGCTGTGATCAGTGGGAATTAAGTAGTTTTATTATGTTTTTAAGTGAGAAAGTCCACCTGAAAACTTAATAATTGCAGTCAGTTCATCCAGATTATCTATTTCTGTCGGAGGCGCTCAGACCCCCACATACCAGCGGTGCACCGACAGTAGAAATCCTTTCATCAGCAGCCTCTAGGCTGGACATTCTCCGGGTTCACGCGGTGGATGGCAGGTGTTTTTCATCTAAATAATTTAAACTGCAGGCACCCATAAAAGCGAACATATTCCGTCGGCAGGTTTCAGGATTTTAAGTTAATTTAGGAGTGATCACAGCGCTGTGTCATCTGCGATGTGTCTGTCTCACGGCCAGCTGCCAGGTTTGATTAATACTTTTTAATAAATACATGGGTAAAGCACAGTCATACTCAGTTTTGCCCCCGCTGTATTTTTAAATACGCAGTAGAGGTATTTAAAGGTAGTAGAGGACATGTACCTGTATATAAAAAACGCGCCCTATAGTCCGGTGCGCCTTATGTGTGTGTTAAATACAGAAATGGGACACATAACTGAGAGTGCGCCTTTTAGTACGATGCGCCTTATGGTCGTGAAAATACGGTAGGTTGTTTATTTATTCTGCTCTCAAATATCAACCCAAATTCCACATGGACTGTTCCAGATGGAAAAATAAACAGCATCTATATGGATCCTTATTAGTTTAGCTTTGCTGTTTTTCTCTTGCTTTATCTTCTTTCCACCCTTTTCTTCATCAGAACAAATAACATATGTTCTGTTGAAGAAAACCCATAAAGTTTTAGTCAACTACACCTCCAGATATATCTGAGCTAATGATTCATTGAGAATAGGTCATTTTAAAGTCTCCACCATTCATCTAAATGTAGGAATTAAATCCTGTTATTTATATCCTCTATCATTGTAATCCTTATTATTAATGTTATCATTATTATTATTATTATTATTAAATAATGTTATTATCATCATTATTTCCAATTGAGTCATTTGAACACCGTATAATTATTAACCAATACTTATGTTAAATAAATTTGCATATTTATTCCAGATCAGCTTAAGATAGATTTACTTCTTAAAGAATTGTAAATAATTTAAAAGCAAATTCAATCAGCCTAATTTATTTTTATACAAGCTATTTATGCTACACACATATAGATTTATTTACCCTTAAAGTTTAATCTAAATCTTAAAGAATTAAGATTAACAAATTAAACTTTAGCATCTAGCATTTAAATAATGACACAGGTCCTTGATTATTTGAAGAAATGCCCAATTATTGTTAAACAATCATAATCTGTTCATTTGATTTAATTTTTAAAAATCTGTCTCATTAAACTTTATTTGTTGTGATATTTGAACCTTATATCAATCCCCTTTATTAGCAATTTAAAACAGCTGTGTATTATCTCTAACACATTTAACTCCTGCTTTGTTTTGAAAACAGGTGAGGGGGAAGAATGAGCCACAGAAAAAAGAAACTGTCCTTATTTTACAGTTTAACCTTAATTATTCACTCATTTTTATTTTACCAAGACAAAAAATAACTAAACTATCATTTCACAAATGGACAACATATAATAGTTATAGTGGATCCACAGACACTACAGACAACATATAAGACAAACAGATAAGACAAACAAAACACCAACAAATGGCCATAACATAAATGATTAAACGTAATTGTTGCATGCAAACATTCATGTGTGTCAGGCCCTTTTCTGTCATCGGGGTGGGGTGGGGGGTTGGGTGTGTGTGTGTGTGGGGGGGGGGGGGGGGGGGGGGTGGGGGGGGGGGGGGGGGGGGGGGGGGGTGGGGGGGGGTAGGCAGATTCATGGAACCCTTAGCCCGCCCATCTTTACCGAACCTCCTGTAACTGGGTCAACGCTAAAATGGACGCTTTTCAGTCTATTTATACGCAGGTACTTTAACTCTAGTCAATAAACAGTGAATCCGTTACTATTCTGCTGTAAGCCAACCATTTATAACTTTATGTCAGGTGCTATTTCAGTCCTAATTCTGAAAGTTAGGATGTTTTTTTTTGTTTTTATCATCCTTGATTTAAATCCATTAAGCAGGTTTTAGGTTTTATTTATTTTTAAACATACTTGTTTTAAATGTGCCAAAAAATTATTATTATTATTTCACTCTCTCAGGAAAATATGCCACTTTGATTCAAATCTTTCAGGAATTAATTATTTATTTTTTGCAAATCTGTAATTTTAGTTAATAAACTCATAGCTTTTATATATTTTAGCTGCATTTTCCAAACTACGTCCCATATATTTGGTTTACTGTAAGGTTTATTTATTTTAAACACTTAAGGGGTGAAAATTGCTGATTTCATTGTTTATATGTTTTAAATGATATACATGTGTATTAATATTTTTTTGGAGGAAAGGGAAATCAATTCTCTTAGTTTTTCATTTAGTAAAATCTTATTCAGATTAAAGTGACACATAACTTT